ATTTATCTGGAATTCAACCGTTATCTAACAATAGTTCTTAGACATACGCTTAGTCTCAATTTTGACAGAAACAAGCAACTACATATAAAATGAAAAGGAGACTCGGTGAGATTGGAGTTACCTGCGGAAAATCTAGACTTGCTTCATTAAGGGCCGTGGTTTTAAATATTTAATATTGAGGGATGCGTTCTGGAAATCTTGGATTTATTAGGACAGCAATTGATAACGCCCACGCTTGCAAAAGAAAAATAAGATGACGGTAAGGGTAATCCGACGAGAGGTTATTTATAACGCTAATGAGCATCAGCTGCGCGCCGTTACTTAACGGTCTTAACAAAGCCTATGTGCAGTGCAAAGAATGGCTTTATCTTAACACACACCAACGTACTTTGTTTTTAAAGAGGTTTTTCCCATTGGATGTGATAGTGTTTACGTGCATGCAGACTTTATCCAGGGAGTGTAAGTACGATTTTATAGAAAAACGGTATTCTCGGCTTTCTTTCCTACGCAGGTTATAACAATGGGTGGTCATTGTACACTACTGGAGCATCTGAAGGAAGTGAAAGCAAGGTTGAAATCGTTCTACTGCATGTTGTTAGTGAAGAGGAGTACGTCTTACGTAAGGAATTATATGTACATAACAGTGAGTGAGTTTTGTTTAACGCCGCTTTCAACAGTATTCCAGTTATATCGCGGCGTGTCAGCTTAATGTGGGAGGATAGCCCGAAGTGATGCAGGTCTCAGACGTTTACCACTTCGGTGAAACCCACGAGCACGGGTATGGTGCTACAAACCTAGAAACAAAATCGGGGCGAACAGGGATTCGAACCCACAATCATACTTTTAGGGTTCTGGCGTGCCCAAGGGACGCAACTCTGCACAGCGAATCGCGGCGCCTTAGACGACTGGGCCACCCGTGCCCCCTACATAATAACAAGACAGTTATACAATGACATGTATGTTCAATGTGAGTGAATGATTTGTTTAACGACGGTTTGAGCAGTAATTCAGTCAGATCGGGCCGTGTCAGTTTAATATTGGATGGAAAACCCGAACATGTGTTTCATTATGGGTATGGTGCTGACAAACCTAGAATCATAGTCAGGTCAAACAGGGATTCGAACCCAGAGGCACACAAACCTGCACAGAAATGCAGTCTTAAGACGACTGAGTCCCCCTGTCTCGTGAGCAAAGATAAAACGTTTCCATATTATGTCCATTCTGTTAGCGAAAAGGATTAACAATAAGGTACATGCTGGGGTGAGTGAGTAAGTGAGTGAGTTGGGTTTAACGCCGCTTCTAACAGTATTCCAGTTACATCACGGGCGTGTCAACTTAATGTGGGAGGAAAGCCCGAAGTGATGCAGGTATCAGACGTTTACCACTTCGGTGAAACCCACGAGCACGGGTATGGTGCTGACAAACCTAGAAACATAATCGGGGCGAACCGGGATTCGAACCCACAATCATAGGTTTCTGGCGTGCCCAAGGGACGCAACCCTGCACAGCGAATCGCGGCGCCTAAGACGACTAGGCCACCCGTGCCCCCTCATGCAGGCGTGAACGAAATGCATGTTACAGTTATTTGGAGACGGTTGCACAATGATACGTTCAATAGCCCCAAAAGTAGAAGAAGACTTCCAATTAACCATGAGCCATCTAGAAGGACAGTTGTAGAAAATCAATAAACAGACAGCGTGAACTGTATGTAATGGGAGTCCAATTTGAGGTAAATCAGTCGGAATATTTTCGATGTATCAAATTAGAGCAGATTTCAAGATGGCTGCCACAGCTCTACAGACGTCCTGTCGTTCTCGAACAGCTTCCTCATGCTCTGACTGGGATTGAATTTCCGTGTGTCGTGAATCAGTACTGATTCTCGCATTGTTAAATAACATCAGCTGATCCCGAGTCCCATCTTACCTTCCTCTCAAATTGGATTTACGTCTTCACTAATATACCCAAATCGTATTTTCCTTCCGACTGATTACCACCGACTGAGGCCAGGCCAAGCGTCCGAAATGCCACAGAGAGAGAATATAAAATCTCTCTGCAAAGATATGCCCTTTTTTCAGCGATGATTTCCATTAGCAGAAGAAAAACAGCAGAACGTATATCCTGATCAGTGCAGAGATAGTAGCTCCTGAGTGACAGATTTCCCGGCCCATTAAAGACCAAGCGAAAACGCAATGACACCAAATCGTAATTTCTTATTTTGACCTTTTTTATGGAAAGAACATCTTTCTTTACCGACTATCACAGATGTCAGTTGAATCGACTTTATGGGAATTAATGTCATTTTTTTGGTCATTTTCAATGATGTTGAAAAAGAAATTGAGATTAAATGATCTGTTAGCTTTAACATTGCACACGTGCTATTAGCCAATAATTGTTGTATTTTGCACCCTTTTCACAACGTATGGTGTCACCATCTTTCTCGTAACTGAATGTTAAACTCTTACTTTTTATACTTCAGTTGGGCTTTTGGAGCATAGTGGAAACAAGGTCTAGCATTTACATTTTCATCAACATTTTAATTTCGTGAGTGACCGCCTCCTTGGTCCAGTGGACAGAGCGGAAGGTCGGAGGGTCGATCGCCGGCCGCGTGACACCAAAAACAACCGTTTAAAGATGGTACTTGTTGTTACCTTGCCTGGCGCTCTGGATCAAAGGAATATGACAAGGACAGTTCGCTTCGGAGTCAGTATATTGTGTCTGAGTGGGGTAGCCACGCTAAAGTGCAGCATGGTATCTCTGACTGGCAGGCCAGCACTATAAAACCGGCACTAGTCGGTTCCAGCTCTGTAGTTCACGATTGTCGCAGTTGGTTACTAGACGGTGGTTCTGTGTAGAAGCTATCATCACACCACCGTGGAGTGAGTGAGTGAGTGAGTGAGTGAGTGAGTTGGGTTTAACGCCGCTTTTAACATTATTCCAGTTACATCACGGCGTGTCAACTTAATGTGGGAGGAAAGCCCAAAGTGATGCAGGTCTCAGACGTTTACCACTTCGGTGAAACCCACGAGCACGGATATGGTGCTGACAAACCGAGAAACATAGTCGGGGCGAACCTGGATTCGAACCCACATTCATAGGTTTCTGGCGTTTTGATATCATGAGCATCGATCTACACAATTGGGACACGATGACATGCATCAACCAAGTCAGCGAAACCTGACCACCCGGTCCCGTTAGTCCCTCTTACAACAAGCATAGTCGTTTTGAGGATATTGTTTTGTTATGAAGACTGAACACCCAATCCTTCCAATTTTTGTTCTGTATATATAGTTAAAATACATGTCGATAATGAATTATTATCGCTGATAGATACAATATACATAGAAGCACGTCGTAGATAAAAAGCAATTTCGAGAAATCCGAATATTCGAGAGAAACGACTTCGAGGTTCGAAAAATAACACGGACAGCCTCACCCCTTCATTCTATAACCTGAAGAGTTAACGTCGGATCCTGTTTAACTTGGAAAGCATATCCTTCAGACAAACATGTACATTGTGGTCACGTGATCCAACACCAGACCCACGTTAATCAATGCCAGTACATATGTTCATACGTTGCAATATTCATGAAATTCGTGAACTCATTGTCATTGTTAATTTTCAATATAATTTCAGTATTCATGACAGCTGGTGAACGCGATCAGGCTTGCAGACCAGATTTAGTCGTATCAATATGTCTACATGAGAAATATAGACCCGTTTGCATTCACGTGAAATAGCGGAGGTTAAGAACAGACCAGCTGGGATTTTATCGCAAAAACAATTGTCCCCGAAAATTCTTGAAATAAGTAATAATGCTTCAGACTGTAACAGTTGAAAGAAACACTAATTCTCCACAACCAAAAATACTTTGTTGTCTTTTAAAAAATCAGGCTAATAGTTCTAAAACAACCATAATCTGGTTTTGTAGTTGTAGCTGAAAAATATATACCCCCCAAAAAAACCAAAAACAAAAACAAAAACAAAACAAAAAACAAGAATAGAAAAAAACACACACAAAAACACACACGCACAAACAATTGGTCGATCCCTAAGACCACACATAGGCAACAACAAGGCTAAACATATTGTACGCATCACGATGCAGCGACATAAGAATCCATACATGTGCTTTTAAAATTCTGATGCTGCATCCAAACAGATGGGGCGTGTGCATGCTCCTTTGTTGATTTCGCCGATACATCAAATCAATCGTTGCTAGTTAGGACATTCTACACGTTTTGATTTATATATTCACAGACAGAATTCTACACGGACGTTTATATACGTATTAGTGATGAGTAGTACAGTACTACAGTACTTAGGTGTGTAGAATGTATCGTACTTATATTTCGTAACAGAATGTATTTAACTTCAAACATACAATGAACATTTGTACATGTACAGTAGAGGGAAATCGGCTGTATTACTTAATCAGTGTATAAAGAAACGTGTAAGTAATATCCATTTGCTTCCAGTTGTGAATGGGTACCCGGCAGGATGAGATAGTATTGTGACTGTTACACTTAAAGTGCATCATGGTCACCTGTGTTGAATACTCTTGAGGGAGCTGAGAATGAAATTCGAGAGCAAACTGATCCATTGAACGGGCCAATAAAAGTGTGTAGGTCCGCTAAACAGCTATCCAAATTGGAGGTCAGGTTCTTAAAAAGACCCATTATAGTATTATATCGACGTCCCCCAAAATAATCGTCCAGATTGTGGCCATTCCAGATTAAAGAGGTCCAGATTATCCAGGTTTCACTATACACGCCGCTTTCAGCAATATTTCAGCAAGGTCACACCAAGACCAGAAAGGGGCGGTGAATAGCTGCATGATTACTGGCAATAAACACTCACTCCCGAGAAATGGGCTTCACACATTGTACCCAATTGGGAAATCAAACCTTGGCCTTCAGAGTGGCGGTGAACGCTTTAACCACCAGGCTACTCTACCTCTCCTACTGTATATAGATGAGAAGATACTAAAGTGTTAACTTACCGTCATCCATACCTAGTGCTTGCGTGGCGGCGCTACCTCTGTTTGTATCCACATAGCGGCGAACTGAAAGGTAGAACAACAGTATTGAATAGAACTGAAACGTAGAACAATAAAACTGAATAGAACTGAAACGTAGAACAAAAGTACTGAATAGAACTGAAACGTAGAACAATAGTACTGAATAGAATTGAAATGTAGAACAAAAGTACTGAATAGAACTGAAACGGAGAACAATAGAACTGAATAGAACTGAAATGTAGAATAGTACTGAATAGAACTGAAACGTAGAACAATAGTACTGAATAGAACTGAAACGTAGAACAATAGTACTGACTAGAACTGAAACGTAGAACAATAGTGCTGACTAGAACTGAAACGTAGAACAATAGTACTGAATAGAACTGAAACGTAGAACAATAGCACTGAATAGAACTGAAACGTAGAACAATAGTACTGAATAGAACTGAAACGTAGAACAATAGCACTGAGTAGAACTGAAAAGTTAAACAATTACTACATAACAATAAAGGTTCAGATGCCATGTGTATGTACATTTCTGCAGACCTGACATCTTAGCGTATGCTGCAGTACAGATATTGTCATCGCCGTGCCATCCTCATCGTCCTTGTATCAACTTCCTCGTCCACGCATGTCAACCATACCAGGTCACCTGAAGGGATGTACACATGTGTCCGCAAACCTACGGCATGACGTGGAATGTCAATGAAGCCAATCATACCAATCTATAGAACTCCACCATGTTTCATTGTGCCAGTTCATTTAGCCCGTGCTTCCACTAATAGAATTACCAACCAGTGTCCATCTCGCCGTGCGGCATGTGTGTACAATATTGTCAGTGAGCTGAACAGTCAGGCCGTGTGCATATGTTGTTGCGCGACGGTTGTCATACGTTCATTAAATATAGCATCCACATCCTGATGTTGATGGCGGCAGGTGTTGTTGGTATAGGATGTTTTCAGTGCTTTACACGTTATAATTGGATAATTGAAACTCAGTCGTGGGGGGGGGGGGGGGGGGGGGGGGAATATGGGATTGTGTCTGGGATACTGTCATGCGTTGTACACAGGCAGTGCCGTAGCCAGCCGGGGGCATGGTGGTGGTGGTGAGGGGGGGGGGGGGGGGGGGGGGGTGTTTATAAAAAAACAGTTTTATTTGAATCTAGTTGGGGGCAAGTGATCCTTGTACAAATATTTGCCCCCCTTGTCAAAAAAAAGTTAATTACGGCCTTGACTGGTCATTCACTCAGTCAGTCAGTCAGTCAATCATCCACAAATCACTCACTCGTTCAGTCAACCATCTGCCACCTCCACCATTGCGTGGCCTAGTGGTAGAGCGTCCGCACAGACAGCGGAAGGTCCGGGGTTCGATCCCAGGGCGCGTCTTACCAAAAGACGTTAAAAAATGATGCTTGTTCTTACCCTGCCTGGCGCTCGGCTTTAAGGGGCCAAAACAAGGACTGGTCGGCTCGGAGTCAGTATACTGTATTTGAGTGGGATATTCATGTTAAACTGCGGTATGGTGTCTCAGTGAGCTAACACTATAAAATTGGCATCAGTCCGGACTAGCACAATCAGCCGCACACGCACACGTACATGTACGTGTATAATAATTCGAATCATCTTGGAAGCGACGTTAAACCCGATTTCACCTCACCTTACTCATTCACTCACTCACTCGGAAGACCTTCAACATGCGTTGTGTGAGAGTAAACAAGTGAATTATTGTTTCAATGGAAACACGGAAGTGAAGCATTTCATTTAAATTACAGATTTGATGACGGCAAATAATACCTCACACACACAGACAGGTTGTTTCCCCGAGCAAGCAAAGAACTAAATTATTATTAACTGAAATAAAACTAAAATGTTTCTTTTATGATTGCTCACAATTGGTATTGAATATCAAATCAATACATTTCACCAACTAGAGACATAAACCCATACGGTTATGGGAGTTGACACGTTTCAATTTTAAGAGTGCAGAACAACAGCATGGTGCGACCTGTATACATACATAAGCATGGTTCTCGAAGCCGCGCAGAGTAATTAAGGAGTTGCGTTTCCGAGAATGTTCCATGACTGAATGTTTGTGTTTGTGCGAATGTTCTTCCGTACACAGGTATTGTTTGGTGATAATATACGCACTCAAGACTACCGTTTTCTACACAAGGCACCCACGTTTAGTAGTTTACTGAAATTATATACCAGAATACCAAACTATTAAAAATGGAGACTAAAATCACCTCAGAATCGGTATAATACTATCTGAGTCAATGTGTGAGTATGGTTTTACGGCGCTTCAGTCAATATTATGGGACACCAGAAATAATTAATCCCTAGGCTACCCTACCGCCCCAATACCATCTGAGATTTATGGTAGACTCGCATACTACTGCTACTACTACTACTACTACTACTACTACTACTACTACTACTACTACTTCTACTACCACCACCACTACTACTACTACCACTACTACTACTACCAATACTACTACCACTACTGCTACCACTACTACCACTACTACCACTACTACTACTTCTACTACCACCACTACTACTACTACTTCTACTACCACTACTACTACTACTACTACTACTAAGGCTATCTATATAGCGCAAAATCCACATCACTGAGGGACCTGTGATGCGCAAATCCAGCATATGTACATATATACAACAGAGAGTAAAAATATACACATTCAGTTGCAGCATTCAAAAAGGTATGTTTAGAGTCCAGACTTCAAGACAGTGACACCAGGTACACTTTTGAGGCTGAAGGGAGTTAGGTCCATGGAGAAGCTCCAGCATGAGGGAAGGATCGAGCACCAAAGGACTTAAGTCTTCCTTTTGGTACAGACAGGAGAAGTTGGTCATTTGATCGGAGATTTCTGCTAGATTTGTATTGGAGAAACATTTTTTGAAGATAGCTTGATGGATCAGCTGGTGTTAAGATTACCCTCTTGCGCCATACAAAAACGACAATTCTCATTACTCGTCTGTCATATACTGGTTCCTATAATTTAATTTACACAACATTTAACGTGCCTCAGTAAAACCTGTAGACACAACACACCTTATAGTAAAAATCTTTTGCTTCATACTGTATCTGTTTAAGTCCATATATAAACTGCCGGACAAAAGAAAGTATACACTTAAAAACTGGAATTGACCTACACATTACAAAGGTTATCAAACCGTTACTAAGCTGAAAACAGTATGCAAACCTGGGGCCCAAAACACAACCTTTTAGCCACAATCAAAAATAGGTGTATACTTCCCTCTGTTCTGCAGTTAACGTTTGATCAATATGATGAGAGGCTTTACGCCGCTTGTAGCAATATTTGGACTCGGTCAATTCGGAGACACCGGAAATGGGCTTCACACTTTATACCACTAAGGGCTTGAACCCAGGCCTTCGGCGTAACGAGCGAACACTTTATCCACTTGGCTAACTAACCGCCTCCACAATATGAAATTCTGCTTTGATTCGACTGTGAAAGATACCGCGCCTAAAATTGTATGTGATTGCAAGCTGATGTTTGTTATGCGAGAAGACGAGGTAGCCTAAATGCAACAGATGGCCGATTCATTATATTAAAACACGATGTTGAAAATACATACAATTAATTATCGCTTCTGTGTTGTGATACTGCCATCGCAGCTACACAACACGTGTGTCAGATATGATAATGCTTTCATGGAAACATATGCGATGATATATTTTGAGTCACGTGATACCAATCGTTGCTATAGCGACGGAGTGATATCGAGCAGTTTGGAATCATGTAATGGTAAGCCACTGTCTTGTTGAAAGAGAAACATATGCGTTTGTTTTGTTTAACTCCGTGTTCAGCAATATGCTACCTGTATGACGACGGCTTATAAATAATTGTGTCTGAACAAGACAATCAAGTGATATTATGAACACACAGTCCACCATGGCGACTATGCTTGTCGTTAGAGGCGACTAACGGGGTCGGGTGGTCAGGCTCGCCGATTTGGTTGATGAAAGTCATCATATCCCAATTGCGAAGATCGATGTTCATGACATCAATCATTGGATTGGCTGGTCCAGATCCATTATTTACAAACCGCCGTCATATAGCAGGAATATTGTTCAGTGCGGCGTTAATCAACAAACAAACAAACAAACAAACAAACTCAAAACATTTGAATCCGATCCATGATGTCACATCTTACAAGTATATAGGGGCGGTCGGGTAGCCTAGGGGTTAAAGCGTTCGCTCGTCACGCCGAAGACCCGGGTTCGATTCCCGACATGGGTACAATGTGTGAAGCCCATTTCTGGTGTCCCCCGCCGTGATATTGCTGGAATATTGCTAAAAGCGGCGTAAAACCATACTCACTCACTCACTCTTACAAGTATAGGTTTCTTGGGGCCTATTCGAACCTGAAGTCCCCACGGAGTTGATATCATTGTTTGTCGAAGGACTTGGCAAATCTTACAACATGGACTTTGTTTTATGTACCATTGAACGATCATATCACAGCGTTAACCAATGCCTTTCTTGCCTTTGGATACAAGCAAAATAATAATTTTTCCCTTTAGACATCATTGTTATCAAACCTTTACAGCAGAAATTAGTTCAAATTTTGGGTTGTGAGTCGTATCATCGAAAGTCCTTTTCTTTGGACTTTCCTTCAAGCTTTCCAATAATCTTTTCTCGAAAATGATGTAAAAAATGTTTGTTTCAGGATTTACAAACAAAATAACTCGTTCACGAGACATGTTCTGAAAAATAAATTGTATGTCTTGAAGCGTTGACTGAAAAATGCTTGCGCTATCCAACATTCCAGAGGAATTACCAATAAACACGTTTTGTGTCATCTACAAGCGGCGAGTGGTGATTCTAGGTAATCACAATACGTTCATCACATGCAGGAATTGAGGCAATATATCTTTAAATGTAAATATCAAAATTAATGACAAATTGGAACAATTTGTTGATGCCATGCGTGTCATACGAATCCGCTAAAAATGCTCACACGTGAATACATTTGGAAAGATGATATTTTCAT